CCCCCCCCCCCCCCCCCCCCCCGCGCATCATGTGCTGGGTTGGACTGGCGGCCTGCCGGACCGGCCGGCTCCCGGACGTGGGAGGGCCCCCTGGATCATCTGGGGACCAGCACTGCTGTAAACCACTAGTACCTTTGCCGAGTGGGAAAATAGTGGGCGTCAGGTGGGCCTCCGACCTCTTAGGAGGCCAAAACGAAACGACGGCCGCCGATGAGATTTATCAATGGCAGCCGTCGTCGGGCCCAGCCTCCGATTTTTCAGGAGTTTGGGAAAACTGCCAGTTTTGAAGTTTTCCCTACTTCGCCAACACTGGTGGAGGTACTAGTGCACAAAGGGCCTAACTGAGGTGTTGCGTGCTGAGCCTGCACATGGGCCCCATTTCAGGGGACCCGATGGTTGCTGAGAGCTCCTAGGCCGCGTACCCATCCTTTAGGCCTGGCACGATAGCTGGGCCACACAGGTTTTTCTGTTTTGAGTCAGCAGTTATTTATTTATTTATTTTTTGTTGACTTCATTTGTCTATTCTATTTTTGTCTGCTTCAGGCCGTCATTTCGGACTTGCAGTGTGTCCGAAGAGACATGTGTTCTGTTTGGACCAGGGCCACGTTTTGGGCCTCTGGGGAGGCCAGGTTTGCTACTGGGCTCTTTTGGGCCAGGTTCAGATATGTCCGCTAGCGGACATTCCACTGCTGCATCAGCAGGGAGGCCTGGACGTCCGGTAGGGGCCCAGGCAGGCTGTTTTTAGGCCAGGTCCAGCAGGACTTTTCCCCTGGGATCTGGACCGTGGATCGGACCCACGATCACAATCACGCGGCCCAGATTGCAGGTCGCGGGCATGGCACCCAGGCCCAGCGCTACTTATAGCTGGGCCAGCCCAGCTCCTAGACAGAGAGGAGTTCCACTCCTATGGGCGACATGCTGTTGGAGCAGCGCGCGACACTCAGCGCTGCGCTAGCGTTGGAAGTAGATGTAGAGAGGTAGGGGCTAGGGGAGGTGAGGGCAGAGGCGGTGGCCATACCTGTGAGGTGCAAGCAGCTTACCTGGACACCATAGCTGGTACCTCCGCCAGCGACCTGCAGCACAGAGAGGCATGACAGCTCGTTAGTACATGGTGGCAGTTATATGCAGGTGACACAGCGGAGATTACGGCATCTTCTTCTTCTTGTTCTCGCCCTCCATTTCTTCTTCTTCTTCTTCTTCTTCTTCCTTCAGAGAGAGAGAGAGAGAGAGGGGTTACTGGCAGAGGTTATGTCGGGCTATGGGGCCCAGGGTCTGACTCGACATCACCAGTGGCGGACATTGATTGGACGTTTGTTAGGGAGACTATTTTTGGAGTACGCTATTGTGATCTTGGTCTTCTCCCTCATCTCCATCCTCGTCCTACTCTCCTCCTGTCATCTCATCCGTGGTTTATCCCCATGTGCGTGTTCAAGGAGGGACCTTTCTTCCATGTGTGCGGTCCCTCCCTTCTCCCTCACATGTGTGGTGTGTGATGAGTCGAGTGGCGTCAGTATCTGACAGGTCGGGTCATATCTTTGAGTTTTCCACTGCGCTACATTATGCTACTTTTGTATGTATCTGGACGCAGGGTTGCATCCCTGCCGATAGACGACCTCGACCGCCGACCAAATTGCAGCCGACCGTCCGTGGTCTGCCGACCAGTAAAAAAAAAAAAAAAAAAAAAAAAAAAAACGTCCACTGATTTTTTTCAAATCTGAGTTGGGGGCTGTACTGCGCTTGCTGAGTACAGCCCAAATCCGCTGAGAAACATTGGGGATGGGGGGGGAGATTGGGGGGTTGGGGTTGGAGTATAGGGGGGTATAGGGGTGGTATAGGGGGTATTGGGGGGGCGTGGGGGGTAATGAGGGTTTTGGGGGCGGTGTATGGGGGTATTGGGGGTATTGGGGGACGCTATGGCGTGTTGGATGTGTTATTGGGGGTTCTGGACCCCAAATCGTCATCCGGGATGGGTTCTTTTTTGGTACTTTTCTTGATTTCTTTGCAGACAAGGTTTTGGCATCCCGGTTGGTCTTGTCCCGCCGTTTGGCCTGAGCAAGGGCGGTGCTTGCATGTGGGACTTGTCATCTGGGATCTGTTTTGTTGCCCCCTGTTCTGTTTTATTTGGCTGTTCCCTTCCTCTCTTCTTTGCCTCTTTGCCTTTTGGCTGTGTGCAAGTGGGTCGATATGACACACAGAGGTGGGGGAACCCGCCGCTCAACCTACATCCACGTGGGCGGCCTTGTACGCAAGAGGTTCTGAACAGGGGGAGTTGTAAGGAAGAAGATTAAAAACGAATTAAGTTTTTCTCAGTGCTGAGCCGGCAACCGGCCGGTTGAGCTACCCCGGTCCAACTGGAGCCGGACCAGCCCAGGTGGGGTGAACCGGGAAACCGGTTTTGAAAAAAAAGTGCCCAAATATCTTTTTTTTTTTTTTTTTGGGCAGATTCCGACTGCGCTCTTCAAGAGCTGTCCGAATCCGCAATAAAATTTTCAAGGTACAATATTTTTCAGGGGGTTACTATTGGCATATTCAGGCAACTATGGCTTCCTCGGGGAGGGGCCAAGTAAGCAAGTTCACTTATCCGCCCCCCCCGTGGCAGGAGCACTTTGTGGAGTATGTCATTTGATATTGATACCCCACGAGCTGAACCAGATATGATGAGAGGAGGTCCTTGCCCGAAATTATAGCTCTTCCAGAGTATATTTCGACAGCAGAAAAGTTATGGTTCCAGCTTTCAGCTCGTGGAGGCAGAGGGTTTTCTGTTTGTTGGTTTCTACATAAGGTGAGTTGTCAGTCCGGAAGTATCTTGCCTGCCAGTCTGTCCAGATACATGTAGTGGAGCAAGGTCCATTCGAGATAGATAGAAAGAAGAATATAGCTTAGGTCCATTCTTGGGATTGCACCTCGGAGGGCTCTGAAATCACGAATCCGAACCCATAACTTTTTCCACAGATGGCAGGGACGTCGCAGAAGGATATAATCTCAGCAGAGTCTCATCAGAAGCAGAGTGTTCCCCTCGTGGCTGAGGGTGAAAGAGCATCAGATGTTGCCAATGGTAACTGGTCCATTGGACCACAAGATGACAAATTGGAGAAGGGGCCTACCCGACCCACATCTTAGGAAAAATGTGTGGCTGTTGCTGATCTGCACAGATCAGCGGCGGATATCCTCTGCCCGTTTTTTTTAAGAAATGGGGTCCTGGCCGATCTTTGCCGCTGATCTGCGACGATTGGCGGCCAAGATTGGCCAGGTTCTGGACTTGAAAAATCCGGGCCTACAGGACCCGGTTTCGAAATTGTGGGGCAGGGCCCACTCCCACGAGGCCTCGGGAACACATACGTGCCGACAAAAAAAAAAATTCAGCCCCCAGCGAAAATGCGCTGGGGGCAACCGGGAGGGAACCGGCCCGGGKCACCGGCCGGTCCAACTGGGAGGACCGCAGATGGGGTAACGGTCCCCGGTCCATCCGGCGACCAGCCCTGGTTTTTCTTGCTTTCCTTGTTTTCTTTCTGTTTTTCGCTTTGGCACTCTGATATCATGTGACAATATATATACCTTTCTTTGTTTCGTGGGTGTTTTGCTTGCTTGTGATGGGCTGTGAACCGACAGTCTGTAGAGTTTTCCATCTGGTGTGGGTTGGTGATAGTCTGCTTTGACTTTTGCCACAGGTACCTTGAGGGCAGTGGTTGGTGCCCACCTCAAGGTATCAGTTGTCGGGCAGTCGTTGATGCTTAACCACAGCCGGGGTTAAGGTGGATTATCACTTACAGTGTAATCAGTTAGGGGATTCTGCAGACTGTTGAGGGTTCAGCCTCGTGACGAGTCGGTGAAACTCCGACGAAACAGTTTGCAACAGCCCCTTGTTTGTTGTCCTCTTCTCCCTCTCTGCCTACGGTTTACCGGGCAGCTCTGTTTGACTATATATATATATATACCCCTTTACTGTTCGAGGAGTGATTTATGCAATCGTTCATTTGCCTTCAGGATGTTTTTATGTTGGACAGACGATGCATTCTGCACATCAACGGCTGCCAGAGCATTGGCATACACGACGCTCTTCTGCTGCTTTTCGCCACCGCCATCTCTACCGTGCAATGTGTGGGCAACCA